GTTCAATGGATAAAGGAAGGGATGATAATACCAAGTTCTCCTAGCATTGCTAGCCACCATCACAGATGTAGCTTTTTGTGTCTTTGATGTCAACACTTGGTAAGCTTCTTGAGATTGATAATGAATTAAGGAATGACATCAATGATTATTTGAAGCTCTTTATTGCGAGCTGATTCAATGGGGCTCTGAATTGGATGGTTCAGATTTCACTTCTTTGAATTATTAAGAGAGCAAATGGATGAAGGAGCCTTCGTAGAGGAGATATACATCGCTTTAACCATGTGCAATGAGAAGAAATTCCTTTGCTTGCGTACTTGGTTTCTTGATGGCTTCTCTTTAGAATTTCTTGATCATTGTGAAGGGTGACATTTTAGAAATGGTTGAGGAATTTCTTAGAAATTGTGAGTTCGTTTCTAGTTTGAACTTTACCTTCTTCGTCTTGATTCCCGAAGATGTAGGTGCTATGGATGTTAGAGCATCAAGGCCATCAATTTAGCTGGGTGTGGCTATAAGTTGGTAGCTAAAGTCCTCAGTGATTGGTTGAGCCATGCCGTGGGCCAAGTGGTTGGGGAAGTGCATCAAGCTTTTGTAGAAGAGCAACAAACCCCTAATGCCTCATTAATTGATTAATGAAATGGTCATTTACTTATGCAAGAAGGGGAAGGTGGGTCTCTCTTATGCAAGCTTGACATCAAGAAGGGTATGATCGCTTGTCTTGGGGTTTCCTTTTTTATTTGGAGCAGCATATAAGGTTTGTGGGTAGGTAGTCCTAGGGTGATCATTGGTACATGTCTATACTTTTGTAGTGTTGATCAATGGGGTCGTCCAAATTTTTTCAAGTCCTCCAAGGACCTTAGGCAAAATGGTTCTTCCTCTTCTTCTTTGTTATGGAAGCTTTCGACAAAATTGTTTTAAGATTTAGATTGGAAAATGTGTTCCATGATTTGACTATCAGGGAAGGGGAGAGCAAACTCTAGGGACAACTTCCATTTTAGAAATGATCAGAAGAAGCAGTGAAGACAGAGCCTATCTCTCTCTTTCTCTTCCTTTCCTTTGGCAGAGCTACTACTACAGGCCATTCTCCACCGGTTTCTTCCTAGTGCTTGATGGGTTATCCGAACTTGAGTGGACAACTTTAAAATGATCCTCACTTATGTCCTGCTCCTCACTTCTGTCCTTTCCACCTTATACATCCCATCTTTTGATTTCATCTTCTTTCAGTTCACTTTTGAGTGCTGACTGTCAACATGATGTTCTAAGGTGTTCAGGCATTTCAGTTAAGAAGAAAGTCCATCTGAATAAATTGTCATAGAATCATCTGATCTGGGCTTTAAAACCTACTTTTTAACAGTCTTCTTAATAGGCTGGAGTTGATTTTGCCCTCTTTCAGATCTGGTCAATTTTTAAATTTTTAATAAAAATTATTTTAAAGTAACTTTATCGTTGAAAATAATTTTTGAATATATGAAAATTTATTTAAGTAATAGAAATATTTTGTTAATAATTGGTACTAATAAAAATTATATAAAATTACTTTATTAAATAATAAAATATAGAAAGTTATTTTAAAATTATTTAAAAATATTTTTTGTCCATCTTCACCATGGGGAAAAAATTAAATAAATTATTCAAATAAATAGTTTTTAAAAAATTATTTAAAGGTTTTTGAATAAATTATTTTTTATAGTTTTCATTGACATCAATTATTAATTCATCTAATAAATTTTATATATTTTATTATTTAAATAAGTTGTTAAAGCTATTATGGTGATTTCTCGTTGCTGTTAAATTTATCACCAAAGTTTATCAGTAGGATGTAAAATAGGGAGTTTCCTGAGCAGCTTTTGAAAGTAGGGTGGTCTTTTATATTATATCCGTCATCTAGGTGACGAATACCAAATTTTGAAGGGAGGGAGGGGTTTGTATAATTTTCTCAAACTAAAGGAAAGATCAGTCAATCATCTCCATAAATCAGGATTTTCAAGAAAACCTATGAATATGGACAAAAAGGAAAGAGAACATCAAAGAAACTAGGCCCAATCTAATTATATGTGAGGACACACTACATGTATATATATCAATATGTGTGTATGTTGGGACAATCAAACATATGAAATTGTTCATTACTGTGTACAGATGAGATTGAATAAATGGATGTGATACAATATTTTGATTTTCATCATTTTGCTCAAAATGTTAATGTGATTATATTTTCTATATTCATGTAGTTATCTATAACTATGTACTCATAAGCTGATGGCAGTGATGAATTCCTTGGTGCCATTTATTTAATTTAGACTCTTCAAAGAATTTGTTCAAACATCATGAACAAAAAGAAATTATGTTAATTCTTTGAAATTAAAAAATCAGCAAGGCTGTGGCATGTGAAGCAAGTGATATACTTCTTCTTTTGCTCTTGCATTACCTGAGTAACATTTCTTCCCCTATAATTCTTTCATCAGTTGTACTCGATTGGCTCTTTTTGTTTGTTGTTTATATTCTTTTAAAATGTAGGGCAGCCCACTAGCACTTGCTCAGGCTTACGAGACACGGGACAAACTCATGGCAATACATCCGGAGCTAGCTGAAGAAGGGGCTATTAAAATTGAAATAATAAAAACAACAGGTGATAAAATCCTAACCCAACCACTTGCAGACATAGGTGGGAAGGGACTGTTCACAAAAGAAATAGATGAAGCACTAATAAATGCTGAAATCGACATTGCTGTCCACTCAATGAAAGATGTTCCCACTTATTTACCAGAGAAGACAATTCTTCCTTGCAACCTTCAACGTGAGGATGTCCGAGATGCATTTATTTCCTCTGGTGCAGCTTCCCTAGCTCAGCTTCCAGCAGGCAGTGTTATTGGTACTGCTTCACTGAGAAGGAAATCTCAAATACTTCATAGATATCCATCTCTCAGCGTAAGTTACTCTGACTATTACATTTTACATGAGATTGCTTTTATTTTGCCAGAGTGCAATTTCCTTATGGAAGTGTGAATAGTCAAGGTCACTGAATGTTAACAAGGAATATAAGACTAGCTCCATCACAGTATGCCCTTCTTCATCTGTCCTACATAGACAGCTATAAGATTGCAATCATGATATACAGACTACATAATATGAGATTTCAAGGGATACAGCTGCTTTATTTATGATAATAAGATGTACAGAGATTTGTCAAGCTACATGCTTTGTACGAGTGATAGCATTTATGTAAATTAGTATTTTTCCCTTTTTGCAACAGAATGGTTTTTAGGTATGGAAGTTTTCCCCAGTCTTAGGACATGACCATCCTTTGCAAGGAAATGTTGGTTTCTTAAATATAAGTGTCTTCAATCTGCTATTTCACTTTTTTTTTTTTTTTTTTATTGGATTGGTTTTGGTTGAATGATTGATTACATGCTATAATTAAATGCAAACAGAAAAAAATATTTCTCTTCTTTTATGGATTTCTTTTGGTACTTTTTATGTATTGGTTATTCATGGGTCTATGTTTTTTTTCCCTCTAGTAACAGATTTAATGTTCAATGAGATTGGGAAAGCCTGTGTGAAACAAATGTTTGCTTGTGAGAAAATGTTCCAGGGAAGGATCCTCTTGTGGAACTGGTGTACATTTTTTTCTTCTTATTTGCAGATCCATTTAATCTGGCTGGAAGAATAGAATTTATTTTACAAATTACATTCTGTGTGCTTGTTAGGGTTTATGCAAAGCATTGTTGACGCATATTTACATCTGCCAGGCTACAGGTAAAATGAAGGAGGTTCAATACATGTTTGTGCATACTTAGCAGCATTATCTCTATCTCATTTCTTTTTCAAATAAAAAGTCTATCAATGATATTAAATCATTGGCACTAAGGAGATGCCACCCATGTACTAAAATATTCGCAAATTAGCGAGTATATCTATGATATTTCAAAAATCCTCCATCCTATTTCTTATCTGCATTCATCTGGTTTCTTTATTTCTTTGTTTCTTATATGTGTTTTTGTTTTTATTTTTTTTCCCATTTACAGGTACAAGAAAACTTCCGAGGAAATGTTCAGACACGGTTGAAAAAGCTTCATGAGGGGAAGGTCCAAGCAACTTTATTGGCATTAGCTGGACTTAAGCGACTGAATATGACGGAACATGTGACTTCTATTCTAACAATTGATGAAATGCTTCCAGCTGTTGCTCAAGGGGCAATCGGGATTGCATGCAGAAGCAATGATGATAAAATGGTAAGTTTGAGTCTTTTTTCTGTCTTCAGTTGTCATGTTAAATGATCTTGTTTGTCATGTAAAGTCAAATAGGCTACTTGTCTGGCCTACTCATGTTAGGTTCATGGTGATGGTGAAATGACTTGACAATGTTAGAGCCTGTGAAGTGGCAGGCCTAGTACTTTGTTTGTTTTCTCATTCCATCAGAATTAGATATCGGATTAAAGAAATTTGATTTGTTAGTTTCTCTTAGACTGGTGACTAGAGTTGGTAGAGGTGGCAGGTCCTTTTCTGTTTAGGGAGAGTTTTACTTGTCCAAATGAATATTGGAGCTATTAGAATTTGAAGCATCTAAATGCAAACGATCTGCAAATCATAGGCATACTGTTGCAAGTACAAAAATGGCAGAATACAGAAGAATAATTAACATTATTGATTTCATGAGCTTTTCTCAATGGATTTTACCTAGGGGGACCCACTTTCCCCTTTGCTTTTCATCGTGGTTATGGAAGTTTTGAATAAAATATTGATAAGAGTCTGAGAATGTAACTTGTTTGGAGGATTAAGAGTGGAAGTGGGGGATAATGTGGAGGAGGTGATACACTTATTCTTTGCTAATGACACTATGTTATTTTGTGAGTCGGATTGGGAGTATTACTCAATCCCAAATATGTTCTAACGGGCTTTCAAGTGGGTATCAGGACTCGGTATCAACTTGACTAAATCAGAGATGGTGAAGTTAGGGAGTGACAGAGGCTCGGAAGGCTCGGCAAGGGTTTTGGGTTGCAAAATGGTCAGATTACCTATCAGATACTTGAGTTTGCCTCTTGGTGCAAACTATAAGAATGTGAAGACATGGAATCCAATGGTGAATAGGTTTGAACAAAGACTTGTAGGGTAGAAGTATGACCTTTCATAAGGGGAAAGACTCACTCTCATTAAAAGTAAGCTGAGTAACTTGCCTATTTACTATATATCCATATTGACCATTCTGGCAAGTGTAGCCAAAAGACTACAAGCATTTTCAAAGCAAGTCCCCTTTGGGGAGATGCGGAAGATAGAAGAAGATGTCATCTGGTTACATGGAACGAGCTCAAGAAACCACTTCCCCTTGGTGGTTTGTGTCTAAGGGTAGTGGTGGAAACGAATGAAGCATTGCAAGGTACGTAGTTATGGAGGTTTATGATGGATGAGGGAGCTTTCTAGAGAAGGATTGTTACAGCAAAATTCGGTACTGAAGAGAAAGGATGGTCCACCAAAATGGTATCAAGATTGTATGGTTAGAGTTTGTAGAAAAAGATAGGGGTAGGAAGGGAAAAGTTGCAGGCTTGCATTAGATGGAAAGTTGGTAGGATAGAATCACATTTTGGGAAGATCAGTGGATGGAAGGAGGCATCCTCAAAGATCAATATCCCCAAATTTTCACCATAACTCAACAGAAAGCTGTAAAGATATACGATTGTTACATCAAAATTGAAGGGGGAGGGGGGAGAAGGAGTGATAAGTTTTGGTTTCAAAGAACTTGAATGATTGGGAAGTAGATGAATATGAGAAGATGTTGAGCACTCTTTTATTGATAATGTTGGATGATAGTAATGATAGAGCTTAGTGGAGCCTTACTACTAATAGATCCTTCACGGTCTCGTCTTTCTACAAGCAGTTGCTTGTCCGAGTGTGATGATAATGGTATTAGAATCCCAAATACACTAATTTGGAAAGGAATAGTTTCTCCACAATTTTAATTTTTTGCGTGGGAGACTAATAAGGCGTGTATCTTAACAATAGACAAATTAGGAAGGGGGAGCGGGCAGAAGGAGTGATAAGTTTTGGTTTCTTCCTCTTGAATGATTGCTAACATTATGACTATGATACTATGTGGATCCCTCTTTTATTGATCTTGGTGGATGATAGTAATGAAAGACCTTATGGGAGCCTTACTAATAATATATCCTTCACGGTCTCGTCTTTCTAC